TTATTCAAGATTTATTAGAGTTTGCAAACTAGGCACATGGCTGCGCAAAAAAAAAAAAAAAAAAAACCAAAAGTGTTTCAAAGAAGAAAGAAACATAGAATTCTTATAGTAAAAAAGGGTATTAAGAATTATCAGTCCTATATTTTCAGCCCTAGGATTGGTCCAGGATGGTTATTAGATGTCAAGAGGTCTAGAGGAAGGTGCCAGGCGGTCTAGAGGATGATGCCAGATGGTCTAGAGGATGGTGCCAGGTGATCTAGAGGATGGTGCCAGGTAGTCTAGAGGAAGGTGCCAGGTGGTCTAGAGGATGGTCAGATGGTCTAGAGGATGGTGCCAGGTGATCTAGAGGATGGTGCCAGGTAGTCTAGAGGAAGGTGCCAGGTGGTCTAGAGGATGGTGCCAGGTGGTCTAGAGGAAGGTGCCAGGTGGTCTAGAGGAAGGTGCCAGGTGGTCTAGAGGATGGTGCCAGGAGGCCCGGTCACGTCCAGTGGTCTAGATAATGGATATGAGGTGGATGTCAAGAGGTCTGGATATGTGAGTCCTTCAGTGGGGAACTCAGAGGGTTATCTGGAGGTCTGCTGTATGTCCAGACGTATATCTAGGCATTGACCAAAGACTAGAAAGTTCAAAAAGTTTAAGTTCCCAGACTAGTCAGAACAAAAACAGAGTCTTTCCTCAATGCTTCAAACTTCATAATGTTAATCATTTTAGCAGCTCGGTTAAAGTGACTCCATTTTGTATATTCCCCATCTTTACTCTTTCCTCACGCAATACGGTTAATAACCACCGACCTTCTGCCTGGTACTGTGTTGTAGGCTCCCTTTGTTGGGTGCCCACTTCTCACAACAACCCTAGGAATTAGAGACCATTATCCCCATTTAGATGTAACGAGATTGAGGATCAGGGAAATTGAGCACGTCCGTCAAAGATAATGTAAGTAAGTGGTCGAGCCAGGGTTTGAACCCACAGATGTCTTCTTCCAGAGTCCAGAGTCTCACAAAGACAATAGGAGAGCTAGGAGAAAAATAGAAAGACAGAAAGAAAGAGAGAGAGCTGATGACGATGAGGAGGAGGATTATGATGATGACGACTATGACAAAGAAAGGAAATAAGGAAGGAAGGAAGAAAGGAAGGAGGAGGGAGGGGAGAGGAGAGAGAGAGAGAAAGAGAGAGATAGAGCAAGAGAGAGAGAGAGAGAGAGAGAGAGAGAGAGAGAGAGAAGTAGGTAGATTTATCTACATCTTTGTCTACTTATATCTCCCTGAGTTTCCTAAATCCAGAATATTATATATACTTCTGCTTCTTGGACCCTAGAAAGACAGACATAACACTAGGAAAGCATCTGAAAAGACAATTAAGTGAGAATATTTTCACAGTGGAAAGATAAATACTCGGAGGAAATACGACATAAGCCTGTCAAATCATGGAGGATAAAGCTAAGATGATAATGCTTTTCAGCCTTTTGCGTGCTTGCTTACTATACATGGGGTCCTGAGCTAGTTTTTGCATGTTATCTCATGAACTTTTCACAAGTCCCTCCTTTGTTACCTCCACTCAACAGTGAGGAAGCAAGGCTTTTGAAGTGTTAACTAACTTGTTCCCACCTCAAAGCAAGGATCCAGCAAATAACAAAGCAAAAATTTAGACTTCAGGATTCTTTCTACTTCACCAAGGGTAAAGGATAAGAAAAAACCATCTTTTGAATGTACAATGTGTGTTTTTCCTTAAAAAAAAAAAAAAAAAAAAAGCCCTGGATGAAAATAAATTCCAGAACAACTTGTATAAATTCATAGACCAGAGGTCCATGACAGATTATTAAGTCAAGTTAGGGGAATTTAGGCATATTTATCTTTTAAATTTAGCGTCCTGTGGGACGATGATCTGATTTTTCTGTGAGCTCACCGTTGGTGCTTTCGTAAATAATAATACTAATCAATATGCTCAGGAAAACAAAATCTTGTAGAAATGGAACCATCAGCCAGGAGCTGTGAGACCCGGGCCCTTGTTGAGCTCTGCCGCCAACAGGCTGGTCACGTGACCTCTCCGGGCCTTACTAGTTATAACATGAGGGTCTGGACCATTTGACCTTTAAGCTCCATCCCAGTTCAGCATTCAACGGAATCCTCAAGACCCGGAGAGGCCTGACCTGTCTGCCTCTCGCATCTTTCATTTCATCACCTCTCCCTACAAGTGCTTCCACTGACTATTAAAACAACCAATTAAAAGACATCATTACAGATAATTTCAATTATTTTACGCAGTGAAAAGTGAACCCCAGCTCTGCAGCCCCAGCCCAGCAAGGCTTCCAGCCACATCCAGATGTCCTGGGCCACCAGCCAGCCATTTCTCTGTGGGTGCTCCATGGAGCCTTACACAATTAGGAAAGCAGATCTGCCAGAACAATCACAATAGCAGCAATGAATGTCAAAGCTAAGGAGAAATTATTTTTAGATTGGCTATCTTAGATTATCTGTATTTCTGCTCACATCCACGTGTCCTCAAGAGAAATGTCATCAAAGGGAAATCTGAGGACAGAAATGCCTAGGAGAGTGTACCTAATTTCTGGGCGGCGGGTAGGTGAGCAGGATGGGGGCAGGCTGTTAGGTCCAACATGGGAAGGATATGGGGGAGAGGTATAAGGAAGACTGAATAGTGGGTGGGACCACAGACTGTCAAGGATGGGTTGCCTGATTTTGCCACTAACTAGCTCACGATATATAATTTCTTTAGGCCTCAATTTCCTCACCTGTAAGATGAGTATTAAGAATCTGCCTACCTCATCGGGTTGTCGCTAGGGTTTATTGAGTTAACTATGCAAAGGCCTTATGAGCATTTGCCTGCCCCTCTCTTAAGCATAGCTATTATCGTTGATGTTATTAACCACCTGGAAGAGTGAGAATATCTGCCCCCCCTGGGGGTCTCAGGCAGGCCTTGTGGCCATTCCCCTTCCCCCTGCAGCTTCTCCCAGGAGGATGGGGCGGGGTTTTGAATAGACGAAACCACTGAAGTTTTGAAAGTGTCTGTACCCCTAACCATCCCAAAGGAAAGACCTGTCTAGCACACATCCTGAGAGCTTACAACAAATCCTCCTAAAACGCTCCTCAAGTAGAAACACTCTTCAGTCTCCCTTTGGTTTAATTGGCCTGTCTGGCTGGCTTTGCACAGCCGAGTTTATAAAACATGACGTTCCTTCCGTGTACAGTCATCGGTGCCCCCACCTGGCCGTTCTTGTCACCTCCATTTCTGTGCAGTACGAACATGAGGGCAAAAAACCTGGATTGTTTCTGTGTCTTGGCCCCCCAGCCCCTGCACCTCCAAGGAGACAAAAAGGAAGAAGTAAAGGGGGAGTGAGCGGGGGCTGAGTGAAGAGAGCTGCCAGGGGTCCTCCAGCGGTGTCCCCCTGCCCCAGCCTCCAGGACAGCCAGGCTTCTCTTATTCACACCTGCAACTTACAACACCTGGCAAGGAAGGGGGCCACTCAGCAAAAAGAGCTTTGTTAAATTTGTTCAATAGACTGAGTATCGGCCAAAAAAAAAAAAAAAATAGCAAGAATTGTAAAAGAGATATGAAATAACTGTACCTCCCTCAGACCTACCCCCCCCCCAAAAAAAACTCACCTTAGTCATCCTCCTTGAGACTGCAAGCATCTATTTGAAGATGCTCCCCTCGGGTGACAAGAAAAAGCACTGGGTGACACCGATATATATAAATCCTCAGAATTCTCTTCTCAAGAAGGAGCATTAGCCAAGCTCCCAGCATTCCTTTCAGTTCTTTCATCCGATTCTACCTGGTGCCCTTGACCCAGCTTGATCGCTACTGAGCTCTATGGTATACCAACAACTACGCACAAAATCAGCTTCCAATGTCGCTTGTAAACCGTGACTCAGAGTCACGAGGAAATAATAGTCAAGTTTACAATTAAAATTAATAAAAAGAGGTAAGGAAAGAAAAGATACCATGAATAACTACTTGGAAACTCACACATCCTCCGGTTTTCATGACCTTGAATTTCTTACCAGCTCATGTTCCTTCACTCCAGAGGTTGATAACAAGCACAGTCGACCTACGCGCTATCAATGTTTTCCAAATGTTGGCTGCAAATGAGTCACAACAATGCTTAGAAAGAAACCGTGTTCAGTCAGCAATTTTGGAGTGTACTGCTAACTGGGAAAGGCGAGTTAGAACAGATACACATCTTTTCTCATGCCGAGGGCGCTAATAAAAACGTGAGGGACCTACTGGTCCTGATGTGCCCAGCGAGCCCCTCCCACTAACATCCCCAGCTGCCTAAGTACCCGCCTCAGCACCTGGCACAAACCAGGGTCTCCATTTAAAGCTCAATCAAAATGGGTTCACTGATCCCAGTGACCTTTTTATTTTACAACTTCGCTTGTCACAGGAAGTTCCAGATTCAGCCTCAGGAATGCGGATCCTGTTTATAATTTTCTATGGGCAGTTAAGTCCTTCACCACCCCCTAGCTTTATTTTTCTCTTTAAAATTATGAGGCTGTAGGAGGTGATCTCCAAGGTCTTCGTCTACATTATGTTTTTCTGATCCTGTGACACACCACAGAAAGCAGCTCAGACGTAACAGAGGAGGGCAGGGAGGAGGAAACAGAAGCAGAGACCAAAGACACATTTCCTCCTTGGGGAGCTAAGGCTGAAGCGACAAAAACCTTGTGGCTAGACAGGCCCTTCAGAATAGTAACTGGAGTCTGAGGGCAGGGAATTCTTGGTAGGTGGTCAGGATGATGCATTATAAGGAAAGGGCCCAAATTCCAGGCTTCCTTGGGAAAAGCATGTTGAAAAAGCTTCTACGGGAATTCTAGTCCAGTGGGGAGGAAAACCTTTTCTGAACAAGTTAATGAAACGTCTTTCATGGGGAGGGGGGCTGGGAATGGACTGGGCGAACACTCCACCCGTCTCTGCAGCCATTACTCCCTCCCACCCTCTAACTTCTGCCAGCACTTTCTCCAACAGCACTGCTGGATGGTGGTACCCACAAGCTGGCCCTTCCCTCGTTTCTGTCCCGCAGGAGCCTTTGAGTGGGCCCGCGCATGGACAGCCTCAGCAATGCCACCATGCCCTGGGGCTTTCTCCTTCAGGGATTCTCTGAGTTCCCACACCTGAGGCCCGCTCTCTTCCTGCTGTTGCTGGCAGTGCACCTGGCCACCTTAAGCGGGAACCTGCTCATCCTGGTGGCGGTGGCCTCAGTGCCCAGCCGGCCGCCCATGCTGCTTTTCCTGTGCCAGCTGTCATCCATTGAGCTCTGCTACACACTAGTGGTGGTGCCCCGCTCCCTGGCCGACCTGGCCTCTCCCAGCCTCAGCAGGGGCAGCCCCATCTCTTTCCTGGGCTGCGCAGTCCAGATGCACCTGTTCGTGGCACTGGGCGGAGCCGAGTGCTTCCTGCTGGCCGCCATGGCTTATGACCGCTATGTGGCCATCTGCCACCCCCTGCGCTATGCGGCCGTGGTGACCCCCGGGCTGTGCGCGCGACTGGCCCTGGCCTGCTGCCTCGGAGGGCTGATGGTGTCTGTGGGGCTCACAGTGGCGGTCTTCCACCTGCCTTTCTGCGGCTCCCGCCTGCTGGTGCATTTCTTTTGCGACATCACGGCTCTACTGCACCTGGCCTGCACGCGGAGCTACACGGACGAGCTACCGCTGCTCGGCGCCTGCCTGGTGCTGCTGCTGCTGCCCTCGATGCTCATCTTGGCCTCCTACGGGGCCATCGCTGCCGTCCTACGCCGCCTGCGCTCCCCCGAGGGCCGGCGCAAGGCCGCCTCCACCTGCGCCTCGCACCTGGTCGTCACCTTCCTGCACTATGGCTGCGCCACCTTCATGTACGTGCGGCCCAAAGCCAGCTACTCCCCGCGGCGTGATCGAACGGTGGCACTCGTCTACACCAACATCACCCCGCTGCTCTACCCGCTCATCTACAGTCTGCGCAACCGTGAGATCACTGCCGCCATCCGCAGGGTGCTGGGGCGGTGGCGGCCTAGCCAACCCCAGGGTCAGAGTCTGTGTCAACACTGACAGCAGGCCAGAGTGGGCAGCTCTGCCACCTAAAGTTTCATCTCTCAGGAGGTGTCTGCATCGGGAGCGCCACCAGGGGGGACTCAAGGACCAGATTCAGGAAAGAGAACCTCGAAGTGCTCACATAGGGCCCCGACCCAACAGTCGCCCCCTCCTCCACCGCTCCCTGGCTGCTTCCATCACCTCCTTCTCCACATGGGATGCCTACTTCTTCACACCGCTCTGTCTTGAAAAAAAATCATGCACAGGCACCTGACTGAGGAAGTCTAGGTTACCAGGAAAGAGGCAGCTGTGGCTGGAGAAGGGATTTCAGGGGAAGGTCAAAGCCGCATGTGATTTGCAGGAAGGCCTGCTGTGTGCTGTGGGAGGTAGCCCTCCTTCCCTCAACCCATCCAACTCCACGGTGACATCAGTTACCTGTCAGGGCTTCGGGATTTGTGGTTTCTGTGGAAGGTGCAGTTCCGTCCTGGCCATGGGCAAGGGAAGGGGCTCCAAGGAGGTTCAGGATGGCATGGTCACGTTTGCAAATATGAGCCTATTTCAGCTTTGTCCAGTGTCACTACTGAACCCAAAAGTGGCTTATCACTGACAAAATATTTTGCTGCATGAGTAGTCGAAATGAGAAAATTCAGAAGAAATTCACTCCTATTTTTTTAAGACCATTTTACCCACAATATTCTTGGAAATTTACTTTTAAAAAGTATGACATGATATAAATCATATTTTCCTATAAGAACAACACTGTGACTATAGTTAATACAGTACTGCAGATTAGAAAGTAGCTAGGATCTTGAATATTATTATCATCACGAGAAAGAAAATTTATAACTATGTATGGTGATGGGAATTAGCTGACCTTATAGTGGTGATCATTTTGCAATATATACAAATATCAAATCATTCCATTATACACCTGCCTGAAATTAATATAATGTTAGGTCAATTATACCTCGATAGAAAAAATATAAAAAAGAACAATATTATAAATAAAGGGCTAGTTCTCCAAACTAAAAATTGTTATTAAATTAATCCTCTACCTGGCCAAAATGTATCATAAAATAAAAGTATTATAAACTTTTAAATTAATTTAAAATAGTGAAATAAATACTCGATTTCCTTATAAAATGTGCAAAAGCAGTACCTATTTTTAATGCACAGGTCCCAACCATAAAAGGCACATGTAGATCATAACAAATATAACTTCATATTATAAGCTTAATTTTTAAAAGTAATATGCTAGTTTTACTAATATTTAATAATTCATTGTTTTCCTTAGAACTCTAGAGTAAATATTTGGACAATCTAGACATCTTAAAGTCATTTTTCAAGGATATGTGAAATAGATATTTTTTTTCTCTGAATAAACATCTCTTTTATAAGCAGAAGCCTTCAAAATTATTCTACTGATCTTATTGCTACCTCAAATTGGTGGAGTAGGATTTTAAATATATATTTGCTGGTTGTGATATCGGTAAAGATTATAGTGCTTCCTTCACTAGAATTTTTAAAAGTAAAAGAGCCGACCTACTCTGCGCCTTGGCGTCAGACCGCCTGGAATCGGTTTTGGGGAATACGTGATATCACGCAAACCTTATGGAACCTAACCCAGCCTCAATGTTCTCCTTTCTAAAATGAGATAGTGACTATGAAATTCCCTGAAAGAAGAACGAAGTTGGAGGTGTCACACTACCTGATATCGAATTATACTACAAAGCTACAGTAATCAAAGCAGCACGGTGCTAGCATAAAAACAGACACTTTGATCAATGGAACAGAATAGAGAACCCAGATATAAATCCACACATATTCACTCACTTAATATATGACAAAGGAGGCAAGAATATACAGTGGAGGAAACACAGTCTTTTCCATAAATGACGTTGGGAAAATTGGACAGATACATGCAAAAAAGAAAAAAAGAAACTGGACCACCTAAAAAAAAAAAGAAAAGAAAACTAAGGAAATTCCCTGAAAGTAATTCAGCACAATACGAATGCAAAAGGGTTTTTTTTTCCCCCTTTCTCAGGATAAGGAGAAGTGGAACCCTCATCTAGCAAGGTCTGAACTGAAGAGTCATCTTTCTTATGGGAGCTGGGGAATTTCTTTGGGTTTTTTTCCACTGGGCTTAGAGACAGATGGAGAGAGGGGGGACGGCTGTGCAGCGGTTCCTCAGGGCAGCACCCCTCTTCCCCCGCCCCCACTTTTCAGGAGACTGGCAGCAAGCTCACTGTTCACGGGGACGCAAGCAAGACGAGAAAGGGTTCTGGTTGCCTCAGTGAATAGCTTCTGGACCCAGATTTGCACTTAGGTGACCAATCCCAGCCCTTATACTCACTTTCCTTTTTGGCCTCCCTTCTAGCTTCAGTGTCCCTATGCCCACCCCACTGGCCAGAGGAAGACTTCCTGGGGCGGGGGGAATCTATCCTCTGCATCGGGATGACCCCCAGCTGCCTCCTACATCTCCACAGGCTGGGAGCTCTGAAGCTTTCTATACTTAATTCAAAGTTTGAGGAGCAATCTCAACCAGTGAAGCTTCTAAAAAGATATTTCCAAAACATCTCTCACAAAATCCCAAGGGTGACATAAAGCGCTTTGGGTTTGATGCAGAGAACTGTTGGAACAGCTTGTATTTTGCAAAAGAGAAAAAAAAAAAAAACAAGAAAATGTTGCGTTTACAAGTCTCGACAGAAGTAAAAGTGTGAGGGGGAAAAATTAGTTTCTATTTGTAGATAGGTTTGTCTAATTCCTTTCTTCTAAAGTGTTGAAAGTATTTCAAACATAAAAATCCCTAAATTCATTAAGGGTTCACCAAAGATTGGACACCCAGCTAAGTGCTTTCCATGGATTATCCCATTTCTTCTTCACAAGAGCCTCATGTGACGAATATCATCATTCTCCCCATTTTACAATTGAAGAAACTGAGGCAACAGAGACTTTAACTTGCCCAGTGTCAAAAATGTGCAGAGTGGGAGCCAAGATTCAGATGCAGGCATTTAGCTTCCCTTAGCTACCAGGCCTTGCTGCCTCCAGCCAGGCCGTGGTCTACTAGGTGGATGAAACAGCTTCTGCTACACAGAGTGCATCTGAGACTGGAAAAGGCTTGACAGTCTGGGGGATAGGTCACAGCCAGGATGGGATTTCCAGGCTCCAGGCCACCAGATCTCAATTCTACCATGTTCTGGAAACTAAGAGAAACTGGCTCATTGGACATGCTGAATTCTCAGAGTATGAGTGGAAAATAACTTTATTCCTCTGACCATCATACCCTCAAACCTGCTCGGTGGGGACAGTCCTTCCCTGAGCCTTGGATTAAACCCATAACACGTAGCAAAATGTCCAGGCTCCTGTGGAAATAAAAAGGTTTCCAGCCACTTTCAGTCCCCAAAACATTCTCCTTTCAATATTAAAAGGAGCCAGCCCAATGTAAAATAAAACTCCTAAAACTCCTAAACCTTGCTCTCCTTCCTCTCTCCTCCGCTGACCACACGCAGTTTCCCCCTCACCTTCTGGGTACCTGTGGGTCCACTCCCTCTGTTAGGGTCACATTTCCCCTCCAAGTCATCTCTTGGGAGAGAGTTGAAGTGACATTGGCCAGCTCACTTCCATGGAACCCACCTCTGTTCTATAAGAAACCCTTGAGCATCTCGGCTGTACCATCAAGACAAATGCCACCTGCTGCCTATGCAGCACTTTTCCTGCTCTCTGCTCTGCCCTCTCAAGCCCTTTGAGCCACAGCTCTTCTCCCAGTCCTCAGGCCCCCTAAACTTCAAAGGATGCATCTTAACTAATGCGAGAGAACGGAAGACTGAAGGTGGAGGGAATCCCTCTCATCCTTCACGCATGTAGGTAAAGGAAGACAAACACCAAAGAACACCAACTCTCTCCCCAAAATTTTTCTCTCCAATCCCAACCCTTTCATACTAGGCTGAGGGAATGGGACAAGAGTCACCGATTGATGTTAGAAACCTTCTCTGAAAACTCTGCGGAAGTAAGCAAGCACTTTACTTAGAAGATTTGGGGATGAGGCGTGGATCTGATTGTTCTCACGCAAAGACAAAACTGAGATGGAAGCCATTTTAATATCTTTTTATCAAGTTGTAGAACCTTTGGAGAAACAGAAGAGAGCAATTAGGGGTAACGATCTGGTATCCAGTGACAGATATTTAAGTAGCCATCGTGATGCAGAATGCCACTGGGACCTGGACAGTGAGCAAGTCATAGGGCTGTTGTGACTTGTGTCCTGAGACAGCGCAGGCTGTGGTCAAGGGAGTCAAGGGACTCAGATACAGATAGTCCCACACCCACCACATGAGCGGCCCCTCTAAACCGAGCTGGCAAGAGGCATCCCTCATCATGGAACTCAAGGCTGGCAGAGGAATCACCTACTCCTAGAAAAGGTAGGGTTTCTCATTCGCACGCATGACTGGGAGAACTGATGATCAGGCAATTTCAAAAACAGAGTCCACGGGCGGAGGGACAGAGATGGAGAGGGAGAAGGAGGTCAGATGCAAGAAGACGAGGCAAGGTACGGAGAAGAAAGCAGGAGCATCACTAATTGCAGACGGTGCCCAGGGAACCTGGGGATGGAGAGTAAGGGAAGAGATCAGAGTCTGTATCAGCATCCTATTGCTGCTGTAACAAATTATCGCAGATGTGGTGGCTTAAAACAACACGCATTTATATTCATATAATTCTGGAGGCCAGAAGTCCAAAATCAATTGTACCAGGCTCAGGTCAAGGTGTTGGCAGGGCTTGTTCCTTCTGGAGGCTTCCGAGGTGAACCCTTTCCTTGCCTTTTCAGTTTTTAGAGGTCACCTGAATTCCTTGGCTTGTGACCCCCTTCCATACACTCCATACACTTGCTTCTGTCATCCCATTTCCTTTTTGACTCTGATCTTGTCTCCCTCTAACAAGGATCCATGTGACTACATTGGGTTCACCTGAATCATCCAAGATAATCTCCCCATCCCAAAATCCTTAATGGAATCACATCGGCAAAGTCTCTTTGTCCTACAAGGTGAAATTCACAGATTCCAGGCATTAGGATGTGGACATGTGGAGGAGGGGATTATTCAGCCTGCCAGAGATCTAAAATGTTAGGGCAGAAATGAGGCAAATGTGTAGGCCTGGAAGTGAGCCAGAGGACTCTAGGGAGAAAAGCAAGTCAGCTTCCT